CAACATTGAGATGCAGTCAAGTGGATTTTTCAGATACTTGAGGGGCACTACAGACTATGACATCATGTTTAGCAGACAACTGAGTGACCCTTCAGTTATGGGATATGTGGATGCAGACTATGCAGGAGACTTGGATGACAGGAGGTCTACCACAGGTTATGTGTTTACTCTTGTGGGAGGACCTATTTGTTGGAAGTCCATGGTACAGCCTATAGTTGCACTATCTACTACTAAGTCAGAGTATATGGCAGTAGGTGAGGCTGCCAAAGAGGCTTTGTGGCTTACAGGTTTAGTCAAGGAGCTGGGCGCCCAGCAAGGTGGAGTTCAATTGCATTATGACAGTCAGAGTGCCATTTATTTGGCAAAGAATCAGGTGTATTATGCGAGGACCAAACATATAGATGTGAGGTTTCATAAGATCAAAGAACTGATTTCTTCTGGTGAACTATTATTTGAGAAAGTTCACACTTCTGAGAATGCAGCAGACATGTTGACAAAGTCTGTTACTACAGACAAGTTCAAGCACTGCTTGGACTTGATTAATGTCTCTAGTTGCTAGATGGGAGATGCCTCAACTTAGCGTCCCCGAATATATGTCCTCTTTTTTCTCCTAAGGGGTGAATATTTATCAAGGTGGAGATTGTTAGAGTATGTGTGACTCATATTTGCTGTGTGCATAATGACAAGGAGGCAGATGCCGGAGCGGGATTTATATAAAGGGGACGCTGATTAATTGGGGGTGCGGGGGCAACGCTCCCGCGGTACGGTACAGGGGTATTTTTGTAAATGCGTCCGTATTAGGGTTATATAAATACTTAAGATGTAACCCTATTTTGAATAATGAAAAAGAACGGCCGCTCGCTCTCGTGGATGTAGGCACATTGCCGAATCACGTAAATCTCTATGTGTTATTTTCTCCTCCTTTCTTAACTGTTTGATTCCTTACTATTCACCATAATTGCTACACGATCACAACAACAATAAATTAGCAAAGGCTTTGGGACAATAGAAAACATGGGACATGAAAAGACGGGATGAAATACGAATGAAACCCGTGTTAGCTATGGCCAAGCTGGTGCCGTTTTCAATTGTGATGTTCTCTCCTTCATTGTAAAGCTATACAAGTGAGAATTGTTCAAGATTTGTAGCACTATGGTTATTATCTCCGCTATCTGCAAACCATGTCTCATCATCAGATGTACCATTGACAGTTGTCATTAATGCAGTGTTGTTTTGAACAGCCATTGTTGCAAGCAATGGCGGAGCCAGAAAATGTTACAAGGTAAGTATTTTAACACGTTTTATCCTAATCGATAAAAAAAAAAATGACACATTTACACAATTTATTTCATCAATGATCCTTAAAAATTTTATGCATACATGTGTACAACAGAAAAAAGATTAATTATAATCTTTTATTAAAAATGAGGTTAATTGTAGTTAGTTACAATTGAACCAACACATGTTAATACTTTGATAGTTTTGTCTAATGACTTCATTATTAATGATTAATTATAAAATTAATGTTAAAATCACATATATGTACACTAAAGTATATACTAAGTTTTTTTTTTATTTTAAAATATTGTGAGTAAGATCACAAATCTCTTTTAGGTTTTAAACTCAATGTTAAAGTGCACATCAATAATAAATGGTCAAATTGATCAAAAGATTTTATAATGAACCCAATATGTCCAAACTAATCTGAAGCGTGTCCACCATTAGTGATTTAGGTATAAGTGTATACTAATTGATATGATNCCAAACTAATCTGAAGCGTGTCCACCATTAGTGATTTAGGTATAAGTGTATACTAATTGATATGATAAGCAAATAGAGTAATGTTATAGGGATCTAATTCAATGTAATCGTTGAATTAATTGTGAGTTCTAATATTCGATAGAGCTTCTTTTTAATCCAATAGTTGTATTGGATTAGATTTCCTATTAGGTCCCAATAATATTTTCTAAAAAAATAATATGGTGAACATAATTAGATATACTTAAAAAAATATATAATACATAGTGGTAAGACAACAAAATTAAGGGTGGGTAGGTCCTTGAGTGGCTCCGCCACTGGCTGCAAGAGATTGAAGAGGATGTCTTCCCTGATATGCAAAATCAAACCTATGATAACAATCCAACACTCTGGTTTAATTTGCCACAAATCTGATAAGTTTCTCGTCCACTTGATATAGGAATAGTAGGTTGTGTGGAGGAGGATCCGAAAGTGGAGGAAGAAACCTTGCAGTCAGGCTTCTGTTTCTTGTTGTGGCGCAAAAATTAATGAGGAGATTGACAAGCAACTAGAGCAAAAGAGTTTTCAGGTGGGACGGTTCACCAATGAGATTCAAGAAGAATCTCAAAAGAAATTAATTCTGCTTGAAAATTTGACAATGACATGCTCTTGTCTTGAGTTGCAATGTTAATTGAATTATGGAAGGAAATAAAAGCTGATTTTAATCCACTCAAAAGAGTGAACAAGATCATCTTCATCAATATGTTTGCTAGCAGTAGCGAGTTGATCAACTAGTCCTTTTGCATAAGCAAGATATTCTCAGCAAGAGTGATTCTCCTGACGCAAACCACGCAGCTGGAGTTGGAGGAGATTGATCTAGGAACGAGATTGAGAAGCAAATCTAGTGGATACGGAATCCCATGCTTGCTTTGCAGTGGTAAGACCATACATAGTAGAGAGGATCTTTGGAGATAATGTGACAATGATCCAAGAAAGAACGAATTGGTGTTTATTGTTTCATAACGAATATGCTAGGTTTAAATCGCCAGTGACTTTGTCAGCCACCAGTGGACGAAATTGATCTAGGCACAGTTCGGAACCATCCATGAAGCCCATGAGATCATTTGATTTTAAGACTGGAATAAATTGAGACAACTACTGGAATTAGATTTCGCCATCCAACTTGACTGAAATTAATTGGCCAATATTGAGAGCAACAAAGGCAGAGGCGGAAGCATTCTCTGAAGAAGAAGCCATGAAAAATGCTTGAAAGGAAAAAAGGAAGTTTTTTCTTTATCCTAGTTTTTTCCCACACTCGAAATGACGAGACTATGGTACGAATGATGCAGAAGTTTTGGTGTACTTTCACAATCAAATCGTTATTGTATTGATGGNAAGAAGAAGCCATGAAAAATGCTTGAAAGGAAAAAAGGATCAAAAAAGAAATAGGATCAAAAAAGGGTGTGAGCTTTACTGCTCTGATACCATGTAATGATGCAGAAGTTTTGGTGTACTTTCACAATCAAATCGTTATTGTATTGATGGCTATATATAGACACAAAGTGTATGTGTTTGAAAGTAGATTACAATCCAAAGAATCTAAACAAAAAATTTAAACTAATGTTGAGCATCGTGTTTATCAACTGAAGGAAGAGAAGGAGCTTTATGCGGACTGGAGTCCTCTTCTCTGAAAGGGTCTGCTGAAGGTTGGAGTCCTGCTCTGCTGAATGGTTAACAGGTTCTACCTAACATTGGAACTCATAGGAAAAGAACATTAAGTCCCTCTAGTACAATCCAAAGAATCTAAACAAAAAATTTAAACTAATGTTGAGCATCGTGTTTATCAACTGAAGGAAGAGAAGGAGCTTTATGCGGACTGGAGTCCTCTTCTCTGAAAGGGTCTGCTGAAGGTTGGAGTCCTGCTCTGCTGAATGGTTAACAGGTTCTACCTAACATTGGAACTCATAGGAAAAGAACATTAAGTCCCTCTAGCATAATCCAAAGAATCTAAACAAAAAATTTAAACTAATGTTGAGCATCGTGTTTATCAACTGAAGGAAGAGAAGGAGCTTTATGCGGACTGGAGTCCTCTTCTCTGAAAGGGTCTGCTGAAGGTTGGAGTCCTGCTCTGCTGAATTGTTAACAGGTTCCACCTAACATTGGAACTCATAGGAAAAGAACATTAAGTCCCTCTAGCATATGCAGTGAGTTAGTTATCTGTGTTGATTTTCTATGAGGGAAAAAAAAATTAGCTAGGAAGCACACTGTCGAAGGATAGAAAAGGGAAAGAAACAGTGATGAGCCTGGGTGAGTAAACAACACGATACATCAATAAGAAATAAATTCAAAACGAAATTGGTGGGCACAAAGCCGAAGAGGAGATGAGCAGTTAACACATATTATAGATAGATCAAACTGGTACCAAATAAAACTATCAATTTTTGACAAGGTAAATCTATTTAGCAGACACATATAGGTTAAATATATTTAAATCTATTTAACCCTTGTGAGAACTTAAATTAGCAAGCTCATGCATGAACAAGACATAAAACCGCTACTTCATGATGAACAGATGAAAAATGTACACAACGCAAGAACTACGGTCTGGTTAGGAGAAAAGGCATTTGTTTGTGTTGATACTCCACCAAGGCCTGCTTTGGTCTGGCCTAGCTGGTTTCTCTCTTTCTCTCTAGAGGTATGTAAAGATGTGTGTACATATTGGAAGATGCCCTCTTTACATATCCCCATGCAAATAAATAAATAAATATATATATATATAGAGAGAGAGAGAGAGGTGGTAGGAACAGACCGGAAGGAGAAAAAGGTTCATTAGGTCGGGACACTTCTCACTGTTGCCACCACTAAAGCACCCAAGACTGGCCTTTTCTTGAACAATTCTATTCAATTAGTTTATTATTTTGAATAAAGTAACATTATAACAAACTTGTTTGCTTAGCCCATTTGTAAACCAAAAATATATTCTCGGTGGGATCTCTCTCTTAATCAAACATACAGTCACCACTTTTTTCATGCAAGAGGAGTCACACAAATCTCTTTTCTTAGAGCAATAGACAATAGCGTCAATAAGAAGCTTAAAGGTTAAGAAAGAAACATCACCCAGCTCGAAACCCTAGAAAGAAACAAAACAAAAATAGAGACAGAGTGAAAACAAGCAAGTACTAGCTTTGTGTATGTATATATATACCATAAAGCCCTATCTTTTATTTTAGCTCATATTCTCATTCTCTCTTTATCTCCTTCTCCCTTTCTTTCTCTCTCCTCCATTTGCAAACCCTCTTGTTGATGTGATTCTCCACTACATCTCCAAAACCCCATCAACCTTTACAAAAGAAAACCAAGAACAATGGTTTTTTCCTCCATTCCAGCTTATCTTGATCCATCCAACTGGCAACAGGTAAGGATTTTCTTCAGTGGATTACCATGGCTTCTTTGCAAAAAAGCAAAATCTAAAAGCTAAATATTCTCATCCACCTTTTGTTTATATCTTGCTATTTGCTTTGAACATTTTTTTTTTTTTGTTATCTCCAGTTGAATATACCAGATATTTCATTGTTTTTGCTTTGGTTTTGCAGCAACCAACTCATCAAACCGGAAATAACAGCATCAATCCTCAATTTCCACTGCCACCACCACAGTCACAACCCCCGCCGCCACCACCTCCACCGCCTCATGTGGGTGGTGGCCCGGGATCAGCCTCAATCAGGCCTGGCTCGATGGCTGATCGAGCCAGGATGGCCAACATACCGATGCCAGACACAGCCCTTAAGTGTCCCCGGTGCGAATCAACCAACACAAAGTTTTGTTATTTCAATAACTACAGTCTCTCGCAGCCTCGACACTTTTGCAAGGCCTGTAGAAGGTACTGGACTAGAGGTGGTGCTCTGAGAAGCGTTCCGGTGGGAGGCGGTTGCCGGAGAAACAAAAGAAGCAAAGCAAGTAGTTCAAAATCTCCTGTAAGTAGTGATCGGCAAACCGCTTCTGGTTCCGCCAGCATGGTTTCTTCTAGCAGTGGAGCTGCTAATATGTTAGGCCTCACACCTCAAATCCAATCCCTACGCTACATGGCTCCTTTCGGTCAGTTTTCCGACTATGCTGGTGCAGGTGACATAGGCTTGAACTACAGTGGCATTTCACCATCAGTCGCCGCCACAAGCGAGATGAATTTTCAGATGGGTGCTAATTTCCTTGGTGGCGGAGGTGGTGGCGGTGGTGTTGCTTCTCTTTTTTCCACCGGAGGTATTGAGCAGTGGCGATTGCAGCAGCCACAACAATTTCCTTTCATGGGTGGCTTCGACCCGTCACCGGGGCTATTCCCATTCCAAGGTGGTGGTGAGACATCAGGTTATGGTGGCGAAACCAGTCAGGTCCGGCCGAAATGGACTGCTTCTATGCTTTCCCAGTTGACTTCAGTGAAAACGGAAGGTAATCAAGAGTCTAATTTATCAAGGCAATTCATGGGAATTCCTGGAAATGATCAGTGGAGTGGTAGTGCTTGGACAGATCTTTCAAGTTTTAGCTCTTCTTCCACCAGTAATCCCTTATAAAATCTCTCTTGTGGCCTCCAAACTCCCATAGTGAAGCTCAGAATTTTGGCACTAAAGCTTCATCCCAGTTGGGTCAGGATCGATGGGAAAGTTTTCAGAAAAGGACCAAGGACTTTGTCTTTCTAAGATCGACTGAAAACCCTAGAAATGGTAGGTTTCATGTGTTTCAGTTGTTTTTATTTGTACCTTTTTTTTGTAATGACTCAGATTATTAACAGACATGAGTGTTTTAACTTCGTGTAGCATTATCTTAGAGATGGAGGTCTAATTAGTCTGCAGAACTGATAAAATTTGAGCTTACTGACTTCATTGAAATTATATCCAAAGTCCAATCAACCCTTTGGGTGATAGGCATTGTTAAAAGTATTGTGTGAAGGTTGAAGACAATAGCAAATTGATCTCTTCTTTGTGTGAATTGTGCTCAATTGAACCCTATCTCTTGCAAATGAGAGGCAAAAATATTGTACATATCCATTCAATTGTTCAACATTTGAGCAGTGCAAACAGACTCACTGCACCATTTCTACCATTTGAAGTTTTTCTGTCATCTATGAGTTGAGAATTGCAAGAGCTTAAGCAGTGCAAGTCAAGGCTATCTTTAGACAGTTTTAAGACGACGACCTTACGCTGTCTTGTGGTTTTCATTGTTGAAATCGAAATGCAATTTTTGATCATAAGGTCAAAAATTGTAGAAGAAGATTGTTAAGTACCTATTTTTTTGGCTGCATGAAGTTCAATTTTTTGGCCACTTTGAAACCAGTTCATTTCTAATTCTCAACAAATGTTAAGAGTTAAATATTCGCAGACTTATCTTGCAACTTATTACCATTTAAATTATTCTTGTTATGGGAATGAGGGGGATACTAAAGCTTGAAAATACAGGTTGCAACCCAATCTCGATCGAAAAGTTTAAACCCCTAAGTTGTGTAATACCCATTGATGAATATTAGTCCTTCCAATCCACACTCCCCTTTCGAATCGAATCTAAATTGAATTAAATGAATTTTTGAACAAATTATTCTAAGCTTGAACATAATTAGATTTTTGGATTCCGTCTAAGTCTAACTTTATATAAGCCTGAAATTTACCAATATATTGAGCTGATTGATGCATCCACATATCATGCAGTGGAAAACTTCCAATTACTTAGGTGCTTTGAGAAGTTGTTTCCACAATGTAAAAAAGGTAATAAGAATACCGTGATTAATAGAACTTAAAACTCTCCCTAAGGCTCATTTCTATTAATTTGCAATTTTTTTTGGAAAATTCCTATTTTTATACGAAACAAATTGAGCCAAATGTGTCCTGATGCAAGTAATCACAAGTAATGAACGTCCAGTAGCCAGCACCTTAATTTTTAAACGACATAATTTACGCCAATTGCAAGAGAAATGTCTGCGGGACAATGCTTCTGTCATATAATTATTCAATAATCTTTTAACAGCTGTTTCTATAATATAATTGTTATAGGTTGTTGAACAAAAATTTCCAAACCTTTTGAAAAATTAAAAACTCAAAGGATGTTCCAGTGAGAATTTTCCGCCTTGCACTTTATATTTTCAACCTGGATGCACTACAAAAGTAGATGTATCACTCCAGGTAGTTATATAGAGTCATCTCTCTAAATCTTTAGTTTGTCCAAGTTGAAAATCCCAGCTTGACNTACAAAAGTAGATGTATCACTCCAGGTAGTTATATAGAGTCATCTCTCTAAATCTTTCGTTTGTCCAAGTTGAAAATCCCAGCTTGACGCAAAAGAACACACTCCTTTTTAGCCAAAACAGTTGGGTAATTCAATTTTCAAGTTTCACACTCTGGTGTTCTTTGTTCTTTAATGTTTCCACCAAAACATTGAGGGTGACTTCTATGTTATAAACTATTATTTAAATTTGGCAAACTTGTAGTGAACTTTCATGCGAGAGAGAGAGAGAGAGAGAGAGAAAGAGATTTTGAACAAGAGAGTAAAAAATGTGGAACCTATGCAAGTTCACATAAGTGAGTGATATAATGGTAATAAACTAATAATAGAACGGTACATTTCATCCTTAGCTTCAAAATTAAGGGATCCCTTCAAAGCTTGATGTGTTTCTTTGTGCAGTGTATGCCCTAAGTTTAATTGTATATTTTTTTCATCTTGATCATTAATAAAAGCTTAGTAGCTCCTTGTCCAAAGCAAAAAAAAAAAAAGAATATCTTCCTAGAGGTTTGTTACTTTGATTTCTCCAAGAATCTGTGGTTTGGCAGTGCATATCATTCTGATGATCATTGTTCCATATGGGCGTATCTGTGTATGAGAGAGAGAGAGAGAGCAATCTTTACACAATGATTTCATAATAATAAATGGGTTGAATGTACTCATTATGTTCGGCGAGAATGGCTGAAAACCATGGACCAAAGTCTTAAAAGACTCCAAAATGTACACTCAATTCCACACAAAATATGCTCTCCAAACTTCGAAGTAGAGTCCAAAAACCAAAGTCTTAAGAGAATTTCCTCGGCTTTTGTTCCCCAAGAATCACGTAAAGATTGCATTGCTCAGAGTCAAAGATGATTAGAAACACGTCGAAGAAATACATTTTGGTTCGTTGAAGTTTGTGTCCTTTCACTCTTTCAGATTCCAAGCCTGGCAATGCTTTGCACTCATTTGGTCATGCTTCTGACATAAGATCTGAGCATTATGTCCAGATCACCGGCATCTATTTGTTCCTGGTGGTCACTAGAACCTGTGGAAGATTATCTTTTGCTTTTTGAATGTTTATCTTAGAATANTGGGTGGGCGTGTCCAGTTATTTATATATAGTTAATATTATATGTCAGCATGTGACAACATGGTTAGGGTTTGTAACTCGGAACGGGTTGACAGGTTAATTTATGTTCAACCCAAAGTTACTTAGCGTTAAAGTTGGGTTCAATCTCAATCCAACCTTCGACCCCAATTTTTGTCGTGTACTTTGGTTGTACATAAGTTTATATTAGCAATTTCAATACTNGCGTTAAAGTTGGGTTCAATCTCAATCCAACCTTCAACCCCATTTTTTGTCGTGTACTTTGGTTGTACATAAGTTTATATTAGCAATTTCAATACTTTCAAACCTAATTGTTTTATAATTAATGTACTTTCATTAAATTGCAATAAACATACTTTTGTTTTGTTTTTGACAAATTGTAATGTAATATAATTTATTGATCTAATGATGTGTCATTGTCCCAGTGAAAAAGTCTAGTAGTTATTATTATAATAATACTATTGCACCATGGTGGAAATGTTTTTAATAATTAGGGTAATTAATTAGGGTGGTGGCGAGATTCGAACACAAGATTTTTTATTTGGATACTATGTTAAAACAACTCTATAATCTAAAAATTTAAATTATTGGAGATGGTGTAACTTAAGTATATATACTTTAACAACAACAATATTACTTTTTAACAAAATTACGAGTTTGCATTACTCATTGCGATTTTCTTGTGTGTGTTTTGAATTGGGATGCTCATCCTCAAAGAAAGGAATCTTAGGTAGTTTTCCTTTTCCAAGAACCAACGCTGCATACCAAGAAGGAATAAAGGCATTTCTAAGGCACCTATCTATATGTGTGTGTTCAAAAGTCAGGAAGATCATTGCATGTTTGATTGTTGGTCGGTTGGTTGTCTTCATTCCAAATTGAGTAATCAGTGGGGGATTTTTTTTTATTGTGATCTTGAGATTGTCCATAGTTATACATGTATTGAATTCAGGTTGCAAAGTAAATCTTGAATATTCGTTAATTCTCACAAAGTGCATCAATTAAACTTTATTTTTTTTGATTATGAGTTGCTCATATACACAAAGTTGAAAAGATAATTGACCAATGGGCGTAATAGAGTGGAGCACAGTGACACGAAGCAGAGTAGAGAGATGCCCTGGCCATCACGATATATAAAACGTTTGCCAAGGTCAAATAATAGGTTGGGGGTGCACGGGATATGGCCCCTACTTATACGATACAAATTCATTGGGAATTTCTAATGCATATCCGGTATGAGTTTTATGCCACGTAAATTTTGTGTTCATTATTCTTGATTATTCATTGCATTATGCGTTGACAGCAAAACCTAAGACTTACAGATTTAATATACTTCTTGTTTTTTCAACCAATTGTGAGATAACGGGCTGCACTAGACATGACCTTTACCGATATGGTACGAGTTCATTGAGAATTTCTAACGCATACTTGGTATAAGATTTAGAACATGTAAATTTTGTGTTCACTATTCTTGATTATTCATCGTATTATGTGTTGACTACAAAACCCCAAGACTTAGAAATTATACATGTTATTACGTATGTGAAAGAAGAAAATAGAAAACGAATATCAATTGAATATTATTTTAGTGCAATTCATTGTATCCATGAGGAGGTTTATTTATAGTACAAGAGAATAGTGAGATTTTCTAGTCTAACCAATGTGAGACAAACATATATACATTAATATCCTCCCTCAAAGTCAAGGAAGTAAAGTAGAAGTCAACTTGAAATTGGAAACTAAATCACTAAATCGGCCCGGCATATGCGCCTTAATGAAGATGTTAGCAGCCTGGTCAAATGAAGAAATAGAGACANAATCAACTTGAATTTGGAAACTAAATCACTAAATCGGCCTGGCATATGCGCCTTAGTGAAGATGTTAGCAGCCTGGTCAAATGAAGAAATAGAGACAAGATGAACTGTGTCTCGAACAACATGTTGTCGTACAACATGACAGTCAATCTCAATATGTTTGGTGCGATCATGTAAAACATTATTGTGAGCAATCTATATCGCACTTCAATTGTCACAACAACTAATAGTAGCACCAGAATGAGAGACGCCTAAATCTTCTAAGAGCTAATAAAGCCAAAGAAGTTATTGGGTAGTGTCAACAAGAGTGTGGCACACTGCCTCTGTACTGAATAGAGAAATAACATATTGTTTATTACTGCACCAAGAGATAAGAGAGTCACCTAGAAAAAAATAATAACCAGTGATAGAATGATGATAAGTAGGATCTTTTACCCAGTCAGCATCAAAATGGGCATGTAGAGGGTAAAACAAGGGACAGTAAAAAATTGGCTGACAAGATGAACAATATAGACTCTATCAGGACGAGTAACAGTACAATACACAAGATTGTCTGCCAACTGGCGATAAAGATTGGCATTAGGAGAGGTATGCCATCCAATGGAGTAAGTCGAACATTTTTCTCTAATAGGGTAGGTATAGTCTTACAATCAATGAGTCTAGCACGAGTAAGAAGATCAGAGACATACTTGGCCTGAGAGAGATAATACCCACTAGAGTCAGATAAGATCTCAAGGCCCAAGAAGTAGTTGAGAGAACAAAAATCTTTCATCTCAAAGTG